CTTGGGCAGGGGAGAGGGGGAGCCGCCATTCCACCCTCCCGTCCCAACAGCAGCCTCTCGCTCTTCCACTGCAGGGCCGGCACATCACGCCTGGGAAGCTTGCCTGGCCCAGGGCCTCTTGAAGGAGCAGCACGAGGCAGGCCTAGCTGCTCACCTTCAGCGGGTGGGAGGGGACAGTGACCTCAGTAAGTGAAGTTGGGGGAGCCTTGGCATGGGGGTGGGGCAGGGAAGGCTCCTCCACGAGAGACGGGAGTCAGAGGAGGAACAATGCTCGTCAGCAAGCAGCCAGCCCTGCTGCATGGCTCCTGACAGCACCTCCCGCGGGGAGCGGCTGGAGCCAGGAGGTCCCCGGCAGCCAGCGGCCGTGGCCGGCTCCCTGCCTGCGACGGGGGGTGCTGTGCATAACCCGAGCGAGCAGCCCCTTGAGCTCTGCCGTTTCGTTCCGACTCCACCCCTCTGCCCCGAGCAGAGGCCCAGGCGAAGCACCGACCTGTCGCGACGATGGGGCCGCCTCCCGGACCTGCTGGGCCAGCTTGGCCAGGGTGTTGACCAGGCAGCACTGCCGGTCAAACTCCTCCCGCAGGCCCCTGCCGCAGCAGCAGAGCAGGGCCGCCAGCAGGTACTGGTAGCGGATGCTGAACTGGGAGTCCTTGAGGCCGTCCTTCAGAAGCCTGGGGGGGAAGAGGACAGCATGGAGCGGTCAGGGTCGGGTGGCTCTAACCACTCTCCCCTGCTGCCCCTGTGCACTAGCTGGGGATCGTGCCTCGGAGGCTAATGAGGGAGGCGGTGATGGTAATTGTGGGATGCCCACCCCCATTGCTTGGGCAGGCCCCTCCCCCAGGCCGCAGCACCCACACCCACGATACCAGAAGAAGTAGTGCGTGATCCTCAGGTCGCAGATGGCTCGCTTCATGAGGAACCGCACCAGGGGGCTGTCCAGGTAGCACTCGTACTTCAGGGCCTGGGGGAGGGGGCAGAAGCCAAGGACAATCCTCCGTCAGCAGGCAGGACAGACCAAACTTGGGCAGGCCCCTCCCCCAGGCCGCAGCACCCACACCCACGATACCAGAAGAAGTAGTGCGTGATCCTCAGGTCGCAGATGGCTCGCTTCATGAGGAACCGCACCAGGGGGCTGTCCAGGTAGCACTCGTACTTCAGGGCCTGGGGGAGGGGGCAGAAGCCAAGGACAATCCTCCGTCAGCAGGCAGGACAGACCAAAGGGCCGTGCACGTGGGGCTGAAGGGCTCCTGGACTCACCCGCA